TCGTCTTCGTCTCCTAGAACCTTTTATATTCGCTCCCGAGGTTATATTGTCCGCCGTCTTTAGTTCCTGTTAGCCAGCCTTGCTTTACAAGGTTCATCAAAGTATTGGAATAACGCTTTCCTTCTACTGCTACTACCAGCTACTCTCTGCGGTACCGTGTTGGACACGGCCCTAAGAGTAACTTGTTCTTGACTCATCTAAGACTACAAGGCAACTCTTAGTACTTGCACCCTCGTCGATAGCTGAATTGCAAACGCCACTGAAAGTTCGAAAGTTTCTGAACTACTCCGGTATTATGGAAAAGTTCCGTACTTACAAATAACTCACAAAGAACGTAAGCCGCTCTCTGGGCTCTGAACGTCTTGCCCGGCGGGAGATCTTCCCTTTTCCATTAATGACCAAAAATAAAAATGCCGATGCGTTGGCGGAGGACTATGGTGGAATGCGTCGTTACTAGTAAAATAGCTCTGGTGTATTATACTCACTATGCAAAATAGGAGCAATATGCTGCTGTTTTACACAGGTGCTCGGTAAGTGCGTGTTCCTTCGCCAGTCGAAGCGACCGATATGTGTTGCAGCCACTATACTAATAGATATAAAAAACGATTAAATTTAAAATATTTACAGTAATATGCACACGTAAAACAACTTTAACCATTCTTTTGCAGTATTCGAATATGGCGCGACATCGTTAACATGCGAAAGCAGGACACGTCAAAAGATTGGACATACACTTTAATTTGAGTACAAATTAAACAACATCTTTTAAATGAGTTCGTTTTTATTTCGTATACATACATTTTGATATAGAATGTAAATGCACCAATACCACTACTTTAAGGAAAGGACGCAAACAACTTTTTTGGCGGCAAATGAAGGCGTTTTCTCTTAAATTTTATAAATATGGCTTATTTTGACTAATGCTGAACATATTTTGCAAAATTGTAATAACTTATTGTTAACTTATCTATAGTAATAACACTTAATATTAACTTATCTATGGTAGTAAAGTGCATAATGTGATATCCCAAAAGAAGGACGAAACTAAATTATGATTGTGACAAGAAATATATTGATTAAAATTTTAAAATATTTTTCTGGCAAATGTACAAATCGTAGAATAGAAAAACTTATGAGAGAAGTATCGCAAAGTTCTCTTTCATTATTTTATGTTTACCTACATACTAAAAAAAATACAGTTTACAAACCGTACAGGTTGATTGGAGCAGTGATTGCTGCTACATGAATTCATTTCTTAACAAACCGTAATTAGTCGAAGGCTGTACATCTGTCCTGTTCAAAGGAGAGAGGATTTGCCATTATCTCTCTATCCCTCATATAGGACAAACAGAAAGATCTATTAAAACCCGCGTAAAAGAACATATTATATCTGACGTGAAAACACCAACGCTCTGGGAAGTCTGCAGTTTGTGTTAAATCCTAGACGTCCCCCGCCATTGTATCAACTTTGATAGACCACAATCCTCGCGAAAGAACATCGATTCCCACCAAAGATGATATATATGATGATAGCTATTGAAATAAAAAAAATCTAATTTCAATAGACAAGGAGGCTGAGTACTATCCTGTAATTAATAAAATTAATACTAAATTCCACTGTAAGACTTCAAGATACAGTAAACTCATCCTGCGTAGAACTACGTTGAAAAGCTGAAGATCATCTCAGTTCCCCCGTGACCATGGGTGCTGTACCCGAAACGTCGGGAATCAAAAAGAAGTAAATTTGAACGCGATAAAATCTGTGAAAAAATTCAATAATTTAATTCACTTCCCTTAGTTGAATGTTATGATAGACACGCCAAGGGACGTAATAAGGTCTTCTCTTATGACGCTTCCAATTAGCTTACCTATAACTAAACTAGAATTAACCTAAACTTTCATAAACATTTTTTTAAGTTTTTTTTTATAGAATAGTATGACAAACGAGCACACAGTACACTTAATGGTAAGTGGTTCCTGTGGCCCAGAGACATCTACATCTATCCTCGTTTGCGAATCAAAATGCAGATGCGTTGTCACCCGTGAGGACTAAGATGGAATGCCTCTTTTCCAGTGAAAAGGGTCTCCGGTTCTCTACACTCACCATACGAAACACAACAGTGTTAAGCTGCTATTTTACGCTGGTATTTTGTGACAGCGTGGTCCTTCCCGGTGGAGCCGACCAATTCGTGCTACAACTACACTACTAATATAGCTGCAGCATGGCTCTACCACGTTATTAGTATTGCACTGAGCACTGTAGTAATGTTATAAGAGAATCCTGTTATCCTATCCCTACTACTACGGGATGATAAGTCTCGTGGGTGTTGTAAGAGGTAACAGACAGTTATGAAACAGGAGATTAGCCGTAGTATCTTTCTGATAACATCTTAATAAGAAATGCGGTTATCAACACGCCTGACAAGAAGGCTGTTATGGCAAATATTTCTTTTATAAAACTGAGGTGAGAAACGAACTTACTGCCTATGTAACTGCCGTACATTGGTTCTCTTTACTCTTCAGACTTAAACTTTGGCTGCAGAAATAAGTAAGTGGGCGGTACCTGCCCAGTTGGAATCCTAGGTAGAAAAGAAGTCCCACCACCTAAAATAAATTGCCTTAAGGTGAAAGCTTCAGGGTGACCCGCAAAATTCAAATTTTCTTGCGTTTTTTGGAATTTGCAGGTCAGCGTCAGGTTGTATATTTAATAACATATGATTCGCGACCGTAACGTTCAATTTATGGGGAAGGCTTTTGTATAGCAATCGAGTTTTGTTAGGCTGTAATGTACTGAGCACTGAGGACTATGGGACTAACCAATCAATACCGTCAATTCTATGGTAGGTTATAATATATTTACAGTTGTGGCTTATGTGATGAAGGTCGTCTTGCCCTTAACTTTAAGCCGAGGACCGGCCACGGCTTAAAGTTTGCAAAATGGTGTGTTTCATGCGAACAGTAAAATCGATTAACGAATATCGAGTTTCTGCTTAATACGCGTTTAATTTTAGGCCTTGTAGACCTACGTTTTTGTTTTTCATTTAAGATCTGTACAGTGTACACCCTGTAGAACACACGAACTGCCTTAAAAGTACGTAGTTTTACGCTAGTTTAATCTTTAAAAAAGCTTTAAGAATCCAGCTCATTTTTAAGTTTTATGACAGTATAAATAATGGTTTTAGATTTGTTGTATTAGGTTGAGTTTGATAGGTTGAGATTGAGTTTGCGGCATTCCTAATTGCAATTAAAGTAAAACTCTTTATTTTTCGACATAAAAATTGAAATTTTATTTGTCAAATCTCAACACGTTTGTTACCCGCGTTATTTTTTTTCTAAAAAACGTTACCCCCACTAGGATTTTCTCCTGTGTCGTGTTCGTCGTCGTCAAACATAAATTGCACAAGGACAAACATCCAGACCCGGAACAATTATTTGTAGGCCATACAAATACTTGTTCCGTGTGGGATTCGAACCCGCGGCCCCCAGCGCAACAACTGATTGCTAAGCCACTGCGCCACGGAGCCGTTATTTTTAAGTCGCTTTCTTGTTTGTTTGTCTGTCTCTCTGTCTGTGGTTGTCGTTCCGGGTGGAATTTCGAAATTGATTTTAATCTAATTTCCCCATGAGCTGGGAACTTGAAAATTGAATATACTTAGTTCAAATTCGGATGACAATGGAAGAATATTATAAAAAACGTGGTATATTAAAATTTTCATACAAAATTTTTAAAATTAAGGTACACTTTAGTGGCTGAAATACTGTTTCTATGATTCTTTAATAGCGAAATCCCACAATGGGGATCCCAATACTTCAATATCAAATACCGTTTTTAAATGAGGTTCCCCTGTCCAGTGATGAAACGAAATTGTTTACAAGTCGCCAATAAGGCAATCGACAATCATATTATAACCAATAATTATAACAAGAAAATGAATAAAACATCATCCATTTAAAAAAATAAGCTTATTATTTCGTTCAATGTTATCCTTTCTAAAGTATTTTTGTTGTATATACTCAACGGGTTCGCTTTGTTGTATGATTCCATAGGATATATTTCCAATATTCCATATTACATACCTAAACCACTATTACGAAGTTAAAGGTAATCACTATAGATTATTGTAACTTGTACTCTGCTCCATCGCTCAGCCATTGCCCCGTTGAGTAATGATTACAGTAAATTACGCTTAATTACACTTGATAAGTTTTACTTTAATGTGCTGAACTGTATATTAGATATGTAGTTATAAGGAAACACATAGTGTTATATATTAGGTTTATAACATTAAGTTTGCTGATGCGGCTTCACCCGTGTTTACACGTTTACAGTAACGCCTTCATTCTAATTTTCCCGCGTTAACGTCCATAATAAAAAAATCTAGCTCTTATTTATTTAGGACATATTTTATCTCTGTACGAACTTTTATCCAAATCCGTTTAGCCACTACCGCGTGATCGAGTATTAAATGTAGGTACCTGTCTTCGGCAATAATTGTAAAATATATAGTTTATTTGTTCTGAGAAGATCATCTTATTCTATATATTAACAACTTCAGTTAGTCTTTATTAAAAGTACAGGTGAATTCGTAGATAGCATCCCAGTAAAAAAAAAAATGCGAAAATAATACTAAATGAATCAATTAAATCATTTTAAATATCAGCGTTGTTTATGAATGAGCACTTGTTTGTTGCGTGAAATATCCACACATATGCATTAATATCGTTTATTGTGAGAGAGGCGTGAGTGTGGCGATGATGCGGCGACATCCGTCCGTGATTCATCTGAGCGCGCGCTAGAGCGCCTCAAGCGACATGTGCGCCGCGCTTTTCTTGGAACAGCTCCGCGACCTTCCCGTTGTCCACCTGATTTCAAATCACGTGCCCGTTTATATGCACTTCTCGCTTGCAACTAGTCGCTGTTGAGAGGATCAAACACCGATTACAATTGCCGAATTTATCACTTTCACTACCGCTGATCGATCGTGTATGATTAATTTCAGCAGCGAAGAGTACAAGTAGTAACACGACAACAGACCCGCTGGGGCCGTTGCCTGAAGGTTGGGAGCAGGCGGCCACGCCGGAGGGAGAAATCTACTTCATCAATCACGCCGCTCGAACCACGTCCTGGTTCGATCCTAGAATACGTAAGTGTTAGATTACTTAAGCTCGTTTGATGGTTTTTACGAATGTGTATATGTGATGTGGGTGTTTTTTTTTTGTTTCCAGCGCAACATTTGCAGCGCACACCAGTGGCGGGAGCAGGCGCCGCGGGCGGCGGCTGGGCGAACGCTTCACTTCAGGCTTGCCAGCAGAAGCTCCGCTTGCAGTCCTTACAACTGGAACGGGAGAGGCTCAAGCAGCGACAGCAGGAGATTATGCTCCAGGTAATAACATTTAATAGTACATACCAGAGATAGTTTAGAAAATTACAGTAAATTATGTAAGAGTAGGATATTATGCTAATTGTTGTTTGTTTATATTTATTATGTATCATTGTTGCTTATTAATACTAAACGAAATCCTTCAAAAATATGTAAAGGTCCTTTGCCGTAAATAAGGAAGCAAAAAATAAGTTATATTTTAATAAATAAAAATCAAAATTACTTTAGCGGTTCAAATTTTCAATTCAATTAATTTAAGTGTTAGGTATTTAGGTTATCATACCCATAATTATCCACCACTATGCATTTAACTCACATGATTTAAGAATTTGCTATGATGCGAACTCTTTGAAGGGAGTTAGTAGAGTTGTGATAAACTCACACTAACTAAATACTGAGGAAAGAAAATGGGTAGCCGACAAAGTCGTTACTAAATTATTATACGAGTATCATGTGATTGGAATTTGTTAATTAAAGTAGTTACTTTAAGTAATATCTCAATTCTGTTTTAATAAAATTAAAATTTTGTTATTTTAAAATATACAATTAAATGGTAATTTGTTTAAGAAACCTTAACGTAATTATTTTTCTATAAAACAAATCATTTACTGGTGTTCCCGTAAGTTTCATAATGATGATATACTTTATTCTTACTTTCTATTGTATGGGAATAATTTTATACTTTTCAAGTTTACTTTCAAGTAAATGACGCTAGTTACTTATTTGCATATTTTATAGTATAAAAATTTACTTAAACTTAGAATAATAAAGACCAAGTTTCGAGTTTTTGAGTAAAGTAGCAAGTTCCAATTAAATGAGTTGATAATTTTAAAAGGCCGGCAACGCATCTGCAATTCCCCTGGTGTTGCGGTTGTTCATGGGCGGCGGTAGTCACTTACCATCAGGTGAGCCGCATGCTCGTTTGCCCCCTCTCCTATAAAAAAAAAAATAATAATTTATTAATGATAATGTCTATTACCTAATTAATGCCCACGCTAATTTATTTATTGGAATCAATTAAAAATATAAATTAATTCTACGTACGTAAAGGATACCGTTAAAGTTAAATTGTTCAATTTTATACAAAGTATGAATTTAAAGTTTTAATTGTGGATATTGTATGAAGCCTAAGCAATGAGTACCAGATTTATAAACAAATTACATTTTAACAATTCTTTTAAAAATATAAATAAATGATAGAGGGAATTCTAGTCAGTGAAATTAAATAAGTAGCTTATCGTATATGAGATGAAAATAATTGAAAAATTCAAAACATTATTATGTTTTCTCTTATCATGTACCGCGCTCAAGTGAGGCGAAGAAAAACGAAAATTCTCAGCTGTAATCGCGACAGTGATATAATATATAATGTGTATGTTGAGAATAAAATTGATAGTTCGCTGTTTCTTTATCGTGATAGGAGCAGATAGCGAGAGTTGTGTGCGCCTAAATAGACGCAGTTAGAGTCACTCGCATACCGCCGTACTATGACGTACATTTTATTTTTAACATAAAATTTTATTATGTTTTAAGAAGGACATCAAACTGGACAGCATTTAGCTATGTTTTATATATCTTCATGTCAAAAGTGTCATGTTTTGAAACAATTGTGGATTATCAGGCCCCAAAGAATTCACTTCAGTGTATACCATAGTAGAAAAGATTTACGGGACTGGCAATCACAATACCAGCTGTCTCGCATTGGTAGAGCCATGCTGCAGCTATATTAGTAGTATAGTTGTAGCACGAATGGGTCGGCTCGACCGGGGAAGGACCACGCTCTCAAAGAATACCAGCGTCAAATAGCAGTTTAATACTGCTGTGTTTCATATGGTGAGTGTAGAGAACTGGAGACCCTTTTTACTGGAAGCGAGGCATTCCATCTTAGTCCTCACGAGTGTCAACGCATCTGCGTTTTGATTCGCAAACGAAGATAAATGTAGATGTCCATGGGCCACAGCAACCACTTACCATCATGTGGACTTTGTGCTCGTTTGTCACTCGATCCTATAAAAAAAAATCTTTAGTGCTGCATCCCATCGCTGGTCTGGTAATTTATATCTGGTATAAATAAGAAATTGTTATACCACCGTCTATCGATTGCTACAGGGTTTGTGCCTTTTAATAGGGCGCTCAATATAATCCACGGGATCAGACTTGGACTGTTCGGTACGGTACGGCAAGCGGGTGGGAGCGAACTCAGCGCGAAACAAGTATTTCTGTTTATATAACAAGTACGGCCCACAAATAATTGTCCACAGCATGTTCGTCGATGTGCAATCTATATATGTTTACATTATTACGCCTCTACGATGCGCTATATATGTTTTAGTATTAAGAAAAGAACACACGTATTATCACGCTGCTATATTATGGTTGTAGTTAAATAGGTCAGCTCGACCGGTGAAGATATACGCTCTCGCAGAATACCAGCGTGAAATAGTAGCTTAACGATGTGTTTCGTATGGTCAGTGTAGAGAGCCGGAGACCCTTTTTACTGGAAACGAGGCATTCCATCTTAGACCTTAAGGGTGATATCGCATCTGCATTTTGATTCTAAATCGAGTATAGACGTAGATGTCTGTGGGCCACAGCATCCGCTTGCCATCAGATGGACGTGAATTCATTTGTCACCCTTATTCTATAAAAAAAGTAAAGAAATAGGTCTGGTCGTGGTTCCTACTATGCCGAAATCACACGAAAATTAATGAAGTGGTTCACTATCACGACCATGACCCGACACGACCATGACGTCAGTTCTGTCGAAAGCCATCAACCGCTCTGGAGATAGAAATACACTCTTATCCGTATTTACTCATTCCTTCTAATCGATACGCGTTGAAGGTAACGCTTCTTTGATAAGATCGAAGATAGTTTAAAATGCAGACATATAGAATAAGCAATAAATGTTTTTTTTTAACAAATGGTATCCGGCTAGAATTTTAACTTGGGATTCTGCAACAAACTAGTACTCAAATACTAGTCCAATTGGTTGTCCTATTAGGATATTTCAAAAATTCCATGTTTAAATGTTATTTGATCGAATAAGTCTCTTTCTATTTCATTCAAGGGGTACTTTGAATTATGTAATAGGATTATAAAAATATATAAGCAGACTTAAATAACTACTCTGAAAAAAATAAATAGCTAAATCGATTAAACAGTCACGGAGATATCATGCTACATACACAACAAAATACAGTACAATTGATAATCTCATCGTTCTGAAGTCAGTTAACATCAGTCTGTAAATATATAAAATAAATGTTCATCATACAAACTTATCTAACCGTGAATGAAATACAATGAGACGAAAATGTAACATATGCTCAAGATGCATGAAAATTTCTCCAGCAAGAGTTAATGGGCCGGCAATCGACTTCGATCGTGTCCTCGCTGGCCAGTAGCGCGGGGACCGTTGCTAACACCGAGCTGCCGTTGGACCCGTTCCTTTCGGGGCTGACTGATCACCAACGGCAGGAGTCCGCGGACAGCGGGCTCGGGATGGCTGTGAACCCTTCCTACTCCATGCCGCACACGCCTGAGGACTTCCTCGCCGGTATGGACGACCGCATGGACTGTACAAGCGAAGCCGGTGCTAACCTCGATCCCACTGATATCACGCTCGGTGATAACATCGACTCTACAGATGACCTGGTGCCTTCATTACAGGTAAACTTATTGTTTTAATGACATTTATTAACAAAAAAGCGTAAATTAACTCGACGGTTTCTCTCTTAGTCATAGATGACGCAAAACTGTATTAGTTGTCTTTTTAAAAAAGTCTTTTTCTTTCATTTAAATTTTTATGTCTGTCTTTACAATAAATAAATAATGAAAAAAAAAAAACATACACTAATTGAAAGTTTACTTCAGTACCATTCTAATGATATCAAATACAGTGAAAAAAATACCCATTAGGGGTTTTAGGGCGCAAAAGCCAACATACGGATAAAATTACCCATTTTCGCTTAAGAAAGAAATGAAAATCAAACTCAAAATTCTTGATTAAATTGTTTATTAATAAGGTGTAGTCCCTCCCTTAGCCTTAATTACAGCTCTTAATCGATTTTTCATGAACCGTATTAATTTTACCATGAAATCTTGTGGTATAGCGTTCCACTCCTCTTCAAAAGCAAGTTGAAGCTCTTGGAGGCGCTTAGGAGCAGGACTTCTTGCTCGAACTCTCCTTTTTAGCTCATCCCAGACATGCTTAATCAGATTGAGATCAGGACTACGTGCTGGCTACTCCATCGCGGTGATTCCAACGTCTTTCATGAAGTCGCAAACTGTTCTAGCGACATGCGCTCTGGAGTTGTCATGCATTAAGAGAAAGTCTTCTCCCATAAGCCACGCAAGCGGCCTCACATGTTATTCAAACACTTCTTTGACGTATCGTGCACCCGTCAACACTCTCCATCTCGGTCCAGTATTCGCCCCGGTGATGAATACAATGTTAGTTTTAGTGTTAAACATTATGTCACCCCAAAACATACACGATCCATTTCCAAAAGCCACACGTTCGCTTATGCAGAATTATGAAAATCGCTCTAATGACCTTCTACACTCTAGAGCGTTCGTCATCACTTTCATTATTTTTTTTTATAGTAGAGGGGACAAACGAGCATGCAGCTCACCTGTTGGTAAGTGACTACCGCCACCCATGAACAACTGCAACACCAGGGAAACCAGGGGAATTGCAGATGCGCTGCCGGCCTTTTTTAAGCTTCGAGCAAGGCAATAACTTGAGCGGCTTCTGCGGGCGTGATATCCATATGTTTCCAGTAAATCCGTATGCTTCCAGTAGAGATGTTATCAAGTTGACCTTCGGTATGTAACTGATTAAAAACCCAAAAACAAAACCGACCTATTTATACCTGCGGGTAAGGGTGCAAGAAGTGACATTGCAAACGGGTGAATTTGGGGAATTTGGTGTAGGTACGGTTGATTTTTGTAAGTTACGTGAAGGGAAAGATTTTTATTTTGTGTCCGTGTAAAAAGCTAAGCTTGTATGCTTTAGTTTTGCCTAATGATTTGTACTCAATATATTTAGATTTAAGGAAAAAATCAGTAATAAACCAAAATTACAAGGGATGTGCGCTTTTAGTGCTCTCAAGTGTAGTTTAAACTTAAGCAGAGGTGGTCTCATATAAATATAAAAAACAATATATATATATATATATATATATATATATATATATATATATATATATATATATATATATATATATAATATACGTGGTAGAGCCACGATGCAGCTATATTATGGTTGTAGAACGAATGGGTTAGTTCGACCGGGGAAGGACTAAGCTCTCACAGAATACCAGCTTAAAATGGTATCTTAATGCTGTTGTGTTTCGTATGTTGAGTGTAGAGAATCGATGACGCTGTTTACTGGAAATAAAGCATTCCATCTTAGTCCTTAGGGGTGACAACGCATCTGCATGTTTATTCTTAATCGATGATAAATATAGATGTCTATGGGCTACAGGATCCACTTACCATCAGGTGGACTGTTCTCCTTTGTCACCCATATTCTATAAGGGATGCAATTTTAATGACCTTGAACTTTGATATTCCTTAGTTCACTCAAAGTGATAAAACTTGTCAAAATGATAAAAAAATAACTTAAAAAATTAGAAACTCCCTTCCGAAACAAAAAATTATAAAAGGAATTGGAAATAGTTGGTGTATCTATTTTTGTTATGTGCAGAATTCATCATGATAAATTTAATTTACCACCGAGCATTTGGTGAATCAATACTTAAAATTGAATTTTTTTTTGCTGCCGTTATGGACCGTACTGAGTTGGCTCGCGTAGTACGCTCATCTCTTGGACTACCAGTAATAGTGTGGGTATAAATAATGACTATACATATTGTATAAATGAGTCATTTATTGGAAATACATAATAAAGTACCTACTTATAATATTCGTTAATGTTCTGTACGGCTGGATTATATCTTTATGTGGGATTTGGAAACCTTCACCAGTAGCGGTAAGCTTTATTGTGGTCATCAATCCAAACTATTCGTGGTATATTTGAGTACTAAGAAGAATCCATTCATTTCAATTTATTTATCACTGGCATCACTGGCACTGGGAGATAATGACAGAATTAAACAATAACTGGTAGCGACAATGACAAAAAATTTAATATGAGTAAATTATTTATCATCAAAAATAAAATTTACTGAAATGGAATTGTTAATTGCAATTTGAAGTTCGCGGTTAGCCAAACTTTCAAAGCTTCCCATTCAATTTATTACAAAATCCTTAAATTAATCATTTTTCATTTATTGTATTAGTAGACTATGTGGCTGTCTGTTGATTCTATTATGCAACTCGAATTAAGGAAAAAAAAACAATAAATTGTTTTTTTAGCTGCAGGAATAAATGTTATTTTTTTGTTTTGACAAGCGCGTAGCTTAATGTTCAAACTCTACAACTATTAAATAATCATAATAATCAAATAATTATTATTTAGAAATAGAAAAGTCGTGAATAAAATATATATTTAAGGACATGTGATTACGCAATGATGTGGTGCGGACGACTCTTCCTTGTTCTAAAATCGTTTTTCGGAGCCATTTCGGAGATTAGCCGGAACAAACAAATAGACAGACAAAGATTTTACTGTCGTATAAGTACCTTATATACTTACATATGCATTAGGTAAAAAACTGTTATTTGTACATTACAAACAGACCCTTCAATTTAATTTATTTTTATAGATAATTCATTAATTATATCTTTCTGCTCCTATATAATATTTTCGCTCAATGGAGTAGTCCACTAATTTAGTTCAATACCTATTTCAATTAGTCCACTAGATTATAACTACTCAATGAGTGGAAGGATTAAGTAACGAATGACGTATTTACGTTTTTTGATATTATCAGATTAGATATAATATAAGAGATAAATAAAAAGGCCTAAATTTTAATAATTTGCGAGCCTAACTTGTGAAATAGATTTATTATTTAGTACCTATTTGACCTGTGAGCAATCTATGTAAAAATAAGTAGTTTATTAGGGCTTCTCCTCCTCTTCATCTTACGTATCCTCTTGCTATTAGGCTGTTGTACACTTACTGTTGTATTATAGTTATAAGGGTAAGAGAACCAGTTAAATTACACGCTGTGAATAGAATCATCTTATTCCTACACTCAAAACTAAAAAGTCTAATCGACTAATCTTAAGTTTATTATTAACACTAACATTACCCGTAACATATACTCTTCGACTAAAAAATATCTTGACGTAAACGTTAATACACAAACATCATCAAGTCCTTATACGTGGTAGAGCTATGCTGTAGCTATATTATGGTTGTAACACGAATGGGTTGGCTTGACCGGGGTAGCACCACACTCTTACAGAATACCAGTGTAAAATAGCAGCTCAATGATGCTGTGTTTCGTATGGTGAGTGTCGAGAACCGGAGTTCCTTTTTACTGGAAACGAGGCATTCTATCTTAGTCCTCAGAGGTGGCCATGCATCTGCATTTTGATTCTCAATCGAGGACAGATGAAGATGTGTATGGTCCACAGAATCCACTTACCATTAGGTGGACTGTGTGCTTGTTTGCTACCCTTATTCTATATAAAAAGCTAGCAGAAGCTAGTAATTAGAAAGCCTTTAGTCACCTGGGCTACGTAACTTTACTTTTACTTTAAACTTTTACATATAGTAAAGAAAACCTACATACATGTTAATAATTCTTTTCAGCTAGGCGAATTCACCAACGACATACTACTGGACGACGTACAATCCCTGATAAATTCAACACCGAGCAAGGCCGACAACGTTCTCACTTGGCTGTAGACAGCGCGACGTTCGCAGTTCGGTGCATACAAAAATTTTACAATGACTATGTATTAAACTGTTGTTTTAGTACTTACCGTATAAGGACCATTTCAGATTGACCGACGGAACATTTGGAACTATTGCAACGTGATGTCACAGCGACATTTCCACTGAAATTAGCATATTATTTCACTAGCGATATACTGTTACGCAAATATAAATGATGCTTGTTTTATCCATGTCGATTTTTAAACGCACGCTAACAGTCACATCGCAATACTTCCGTATCGTACCGTTTGGTTGATCGAAGTAGTTCTTGGACGACATCCACTTCTGCCGAGAAGTGGCGATGACAGGACGGTAATGATGGTGTACATTTCACTCAGAAAATGACAATAACTAGCGTAGTGTGTATGGAATGACATTCGTGTGTGAATCTTACATTTTTTGCTGCTAGAAACTACCTAAATGCTGCTACACTTCGGTGAACATGCGTCGAAATTGGAATCATCTCGGCATTTACTTGAATGAGATAGTAATATAAAATTATGTTAATTAAGACTTTTTATTTGATATATCTTCGTGTTATGAGTTGTTGTCTGAAATCAAATGTGTGGAATAAACTAAAATTGCTCGTTTACTCAAAGTTTTGTGTCATGTGGTAGTTTATAATTTGAGGGCATTTCTTATACCAAAACTGTAATGAATCAAAATTAATATCTTTGTACAGTCTCCATTGTATCCTAAATTCTAACTTACAGAGCGAAACCTAATTATTAAACCCCAAACAGGTTAAGAAAATGAACTTGAATGGAGGTGAACAAACAACAATGGTGCTCTTTGCAAAAACTTCTTTCCTAGCTGAAAGGAGAACTCTTGCATTGCTTCCAAACTTCTCGTAAGCTAGGTTTTCCATACTCTTTCGATTTAAGACTATCGGAAATCCTCGATATTAAGTTTAAACGATACTAGATGTTGACGATATAACTTTATCGATAAATAATCAAATTGTGATAACATCTTGACGTAACAGTGCCTTATTGTGCCTTTATAAAAATTATTTATTGTGGTGTTTTTAACATAAGATATAGTTAAAGTATTTCTACACGTATTGGTGACATTATTGATGTTATTTTTCTAAGTGGTCAGATTTAAAACCTACTTACGTACTTGTTGTAATAACGTGTTTTGTCTACTTACACCGTCCTTGTGTATTTTTCGAGATTATGGTTAGACTAGTTAGTTAAATCTTGACCTAGATAGTTATTTTGGCAACTATTATGTTTAAATATTAAGAATATATTGTAATGTATGTTTCGAAGTGGGTGACGTATTTTGATGCACATGGATAAGTGCTACTAGGTGAATAACATTAGCGAATAACCATAATTATGAACGGTTGCCGCGGGCGAGGTTTTTTTAACTTTTGAATAACTAGAAGAACTTTTGATAATTGTAGATACATTTCAAACCACGTCTGTGCCACGGAGGTGTGCAATAGTATTGTTTTCATTACGCTATAACCAACTGCGAACATTAGTGGCCAACAATAAATTAATTTCGTTCATATTTTAAGTTTATTCTAAAATCATGAGTATGTCTGTCACATGTTTAACTGTAAAATACTCCTGTAACTATCGTTGAACCTGTTGGAAATAATCCTTGAAGTTTACTTGTGCAGCGAAATATTTCGAAAATCGTATTTAAAACCCACCTAGTCTATTTTTTTAAATTCATCTAGCTTGATTTTAAAATAGATCCAAATTAGGCCTTATATAAAATGCTACATTGAAAACTTTGCCATATTAGTAAAAGTACTATTATTCTTATAAGACTTAATGTAATCTTTTATGTTATGTTATAATATAGCAATTATTAATAACTTTGTAACTATTGTAATTAGGTGTAACGGTGCTGGGTTTATGGTACATATGACTTTGTACTCTGTAGATCCATTCGTTGTACTTTATTTTGTATTTGTCGTGTATTATTTCTTATAATTTTAAGTTACTACGCTTTTCATATTGTTCGGTTCATTATTCTTAACGCTTTTCTATTCTTACCTTTAGATATTAGATTGTATCGAACTGACAGAAGTAAGGTTGTATCTGTGGCAGCGATTGAATTTTTATTTAAATAAATGTCATTTTTGTCACAACTTTAGGCACAGTTTTTAAATCTGTATAGCTGCTGGGGAGGGGAAGGATAAGGAGTAGTAATCTTTAGGAATAACCAGTGTTCTAGGGATTAAGCTTACTAAAAATTATACTAATTGAGACAGATCATGGCATTTATATGTGTAAAATAACGAGAATGCCAAAGGCTGATAAGACAAGTCGTTAAAACAAATGAAACCAGTAAAATTATGCCAACTTTATTCCCTTCCCCTAGCAGTTGGTAACTACTAAGGATATTTTGCTTACTGTTGTTGTTCAGTACTGCAGAGTTATTTACGTACTTTGCTCTCGCTATAATGACATAATGAGAAACATTCCATGTTGTTAACAGTTTGCTCGCCGCTGGAACCTATCAGTAGAAGCCTCTGGCACTGCTTATGACGGAATAATATGCTGAACAATATATCAAGTTAAAACTATATAGTTATTTCTTAAGATAGCCTTTAATTACAAACATATCTTTTTAGTCTGACAGCAGATGCAAGTTTTCTATGTAGTGTATATAACACGTCGTTTATCAATGTTATAACAATGAAATTACAAATGTCATTTAATTTTAATTTGCAATAATTTCATTGTAAATAATTTGATATGAACTAAATAAATATTTGTTTCAATATCCATCATATGTTTCATTTCGGTTCTTCATTATTCAGTTTATTTCACATTTGGATTATAATTCGGTTTTGGATATTTGCTGTAGAAAAGGAAACAAATTGTTTATTGACTAACTCTATTTAATAAATAATATCGATTCCTTGGATCCAACACCGCATGCCTTACGATCTCCTCACCTGTTAAAATGTTAGAAATACTACACTATAACTTTATGCTACATTTACAATAAAATATTTAAAATAAATTAAAAAGTATGTGAATGCAATCTACATAAACATTAGTGAGAATGATTTCAGAAACACAAATTTTACGAGTAGGCAATACTTGTGTGCGCAGGAATACCCATTACATGCGTTAATTTCTCATTCCTCTTTCCACAAACGGACAACCAGGCGGTCGGCGGGTCTTCACCCCTTTGTTGTCGATATTCCACGCATTCGAACCAAACGGTTTGTTTCGTCTTTCGTAACATGTATAGCAAAGGAGTGGAATAACCTGCCGGCTTCTGCCTTTGCGTCAAATTATAGTGTGAGCATTTTCACGGCAAGAGTGAATAGGCTTTTGTTATCCTAAGACAGTGCGAGTTACCATTTAGGGCTTTATCACTACTAACCACCACTTACCGCCAGGTGAGTTTGTAGTCAAGCACAAGCTAGTTACAAGCATAAGTATAAGCAAAACTATTTTATAATAAGTAACAAGTTTCTACAAAATTTGCGACCGCATGGGAAACAAATGGTACTAAAAATGCATGCATGAACCCAAACTAACTTAATTATACAAAATTGTTACAGTAAGCGCAATAATACAGATAAAACAATAACTGGGAAAGTAACAATTAAATTTTTTCAGTCTCTAAGTAGTAAGTATGTAAGTGGATTTTCTTAAATAAAAAAATCATGCAAAATTGACAAATATTTGCGAATTTAGAGCGAGAATAATAAGAGCAATGATTAAATTATAAATTTCGTCTATAACGAAATCGATAACGAAAAAAAATTTTTATGCGTTTTAAAATTTGCGAATTATTACTAATAATTTGGCACTCAAAATACTAACCGTCGTTTAATATCCCTGGTATATAGTGTATTATGTATGGTTTAATACGCCTCATACCTTTTGAGTGTATCATGTTTGCTTACCGAGGGATCCTTGAAGCGGTCATCTTGAGGCAGTTCGCGGTTGGCAATCAATTTTTTATAATATTCCACAGATAACTTTGGTGTACGTGGTCTATTGGGGTCGGTGATGTCTACGTAATAGAAGCCGAAGCGTTCGCTGCGAATGAGAAGCAACATATTACATAACATAAAATTTTCTCAATGTTAAATATTTAAGAAGTGTTTTGATAGTTTAAAAACACATATTTTTAAATAATGTCAAAAAATATTTACTTTAAATGTGTTAAAAAGTTTGGGCTCGTCCGGGATTTGAACCCGGGACCTCTCGCACCCTAAGCGAAAATCATACCCCTAGACCAACGAGCCGCTTGCTAAATTGTCAAATTTTATGAACAGTTGATAAGTAACATTCACATTTCACTATAGTAAAAATATTTGATTTTATGCCAAATTGTATGTAGCCCACTAAACATCTATACAAATAAATAAAATGGAAGTGTGTTTGTAATGTCAAAATTACAGCTTTTACTAAATGCATATGAAAGTATATACGGTACTAATAACAAAAATACAATTTTTAAAGTTTTTGTCTGTCTGTCTGTCTGTCTGTTTGTTCCGGCTAATCTCCGGAACGGCTGGACCGATTTTGACGGGATTTTTAGCTGATGTCACGAGAAATAACTTAGGCTACTTTTATTTTAGAAAAAGAATTAAAGTGCCGCGCAAAATATTAAAACCCGAAATAACACGCGGGCGAAGTCGCGGGGAACAGCTAGTTTTGATATGAATTAATTGCAGTTCATTTTACTCAAAAAGATTGTTTGTTGTTATATATTTACAAATTGACTTGTTAAAATTTAATTTTCTGTGAATAGATTTGTTTATTTGAGTAATTATCTAAAATCCTAAATTATATAAAGTGTTGAGGATAAATAAATATTGTCTACGGCCCTTTTAGGTTTTTTTTATATCTTGTAAGTTGTTGTCATGGTTACGAAAAATAACAAGAAAAATGTAAGACTAGTTTTTCGTAATAAGTATATTTTGTTAGAAGATTAAATGTTTCAAGTCTAAGAAATCTTCTTATTTCAATGTGAGGAGCTACATACAACGGTCATACAGAAACTCCCCACATAATGGCGACCGTGAAAGCGGATAGACCTGGACAAACCGAACTCGACGCTATGAGGCGTAAAAGGGCCGTAGACAATATTTATTTATCCTCAACATAAAGCAATTTTGATTTTTATAAATGACCAAAAACCCTTGAAAACGCGTCCATAATGGCATCTTTTAGATTACGAGACGGAAAGTATCCTCTCCTATTTTAATATTTGCTATTTCTGCCACTAAGTATCCACTATGGTTTAGAAATCCAATATGTATAATCACAGTCTGCGAGGTATTTCATCTTAGTTCGCAAGAATTATGCATTTTTTCTTTGAGGTTTGTTGCAGGTGTCCATTGGCCATGAGCAGTCCACTTCTTTGTCAAAACCTTGTTATAAAAATATAACCAAAAAAAAAAACAATAATAAATGTAAAGCACTGTAACGGTTTTATATACATACGAGAAGCCAGCTCTCCATTCAAAGTTATCCATTAATGTCCACGCCGTGTATCCCAGAACTTTAACGCCGTCTTCGTATATAACATTCAATATTTCTGTGAGGTAATCCTGCAAGTAATAAGTAGAAGTTTCATTCAAAATTCCTCCTAAAAACCTAAGACTTAAATGAAAAGCTTAGCTAAGTAATCATTTCATAATTCTTAACAATTAAGTATACCGAACATCAATTACACCGTGATCCGTGACCAAGGGTGCTACAAACATAATTTGAATTTTTAAAATAACCGCGATATAATCAGTGGTAATTAGATTTATTCACTGCAGTTATTTAAATACTTTGTTAAATCCGAGCAAAATGACTAAAATAATGATTAATAATACTTGGATACACGTTCAGAAATAGGATTTTTAGGTTAGCATTAATAAAAAATGGTTTTTTCGAATCTTTTCTCTCTCTTATCAGCCTAAGCCATAATATGTGTGGAGTGTGTCCTGGAACCTCTCGGTAAAGAGTAATAGTGCTCTGTGCCTGAAACAGTCTAAAGTTTGATATCGGTGGTCAAAGTCAAAGATTTTTACTCAATTTAGACATGTTTAAATCTACGTCGGTTCGCAGGGTAGGAGTTTAGAAGTAATTTTGTGTTGTACTATTATTTTTATTCTGTCGTTTAGGGTAGAAGTTTTCGCTCGCAGTCAACATACTCGGTGTAAAGAATTTATGTATTATTACTAACTGCTCGGTGTTATGTTAAAATATTTGTGGAAGGCTATTGTATTTTTAACGGTATACCACGGTGTACACATAATGTCAAAAAAGGAGGAGTTTATCAATTCGACCGTTTTATCTTTTTATATTTCCTATAATAATAATATTATACCTACATATATGTAACACGATATCTCTGAAGTACGAGTTACTTTAGCTATTTTTTTTTAATTAGAAGGTGTATACTTCATCGTGGTCCCATGTACATTCCAATTAGATTTAGTAATAAGTGAAGTCGATAGTGCTTTACCCTCGACATGTCTAGGTCTATCATAACTATTACCGTATATCAAGAAAACATTCTAATTAATTCATCTTATATTTTCTAAAATATCATTTTATATTGATACCTTGAAAAAAAAAACGGTTTGAAAAAAATTTACGTGGACGTTCGGATGTTGATTTTGCATCTGCTGGTTACGATAACTCCCGAAAAAATTGACGTATCGAGATCGGGTTTTTCTATATATATAGTTTACATAGTTTGTTATTAGAATGACTTTCAACTTTTCGTTGCAACAACGTTTTATTGCTATTAAAAATTTAAAGGCCATTTCATATATTTTATTAACCGTTTATAGACAAAGGACAAATGTACCATACAGTCTATATCGATTTTATACTTTGTATAATCGATTTATTAAGGTAAATATTATATTTTTCATCAAAATTAAATGAAACGCGCATGAGGCGTGCATTTTTGTATTTACCAAACTATTTCAATCAGACAAAATCACCGCTATGGGCATTATGATGAATTTTCCAAATAATGGGAATCTGTTAACTTTCTAACATAATAGGATAGAAACCAATTATGTAGTTGTTCTTCCCAGAACGGAGATATTTTCCGAACTAGTGGTAAATAAAATAAAAAACTATGTACAACTACAAATTCAGACCCGAAAACCAACAATCTGTTCTACACAAATATTCGGTATGAATGGTTTTAGTTATCAGGCACACTAATATTAGGTCTTAAATTTTAAGACAAGCGCTGATCTCTACAGCTCTCTCCGCTCACACATTTATATAAAACTTACGTTGAAGTATTTGATACGTCCGTAATCCTCTAAAGTACCACGGTCTGAGTAACCGTTCTCAGTGATATAAATCGGTGGATCGTTGTATGAGCTCTTGCACCAGCGGAGTAGGTTACCGAAACCAGTTGGCACCACCTGTAAATTAGTTTTTTTATATTGATAAATATTTTATTCTTTCTCTCTCTCTCTCTCTCTCTCTCTCTCTCTCTCTTTATATCAGCCCGTAAAAATCCACTGGTGGGCATTGACCTATCCTGTTATAAGGAGGATGTATCCTCGTCACTCTTGGCTGGCGGATTAACGAGCGTAGTACCAGACATCACGCACATTTGACACTGCTTCCAGTTGATGGTCTAGATATTTTATGCTTAAAGGTCATGATTATACTGCCGATTACTGAAAGTCATAAAATCTTTCTACCATATTCTACAATACGAATTGGGTGAGTACTATGGTTGCCAACCCTAATATTTATTATAATATACGAGTAGTATCTACGACATGAGCCGTCCAAATGCTTCAATACTATGAAATATAGTAGACGAACGATATCCCCTATTGCCTTATTATTTAATCGGCCAAGGCGGCCAAATTAAATAGTCCAGGACCTGCTTATTAAGAGTAAATGTAGATAGTAATTTTGGATGGAATATTTATGTAGAATCAGTATGTAACAAATTAAAATCATATGAATCAAAATGCAGATGCGTTGTCACCCGTGAAGACTAAGATGGAATGCTTTTTCCAGTAAAAAGGGTCTCCGGTTCTCTACGCTCACCATACGAAACACAGCAGTGTTAAGCTGCTATTTCACGCTGGTATTCTGTGAGAGCGTGGTCCTTCCCCGATCGAGCCGACCCATTCGTGCTACAACTATACTATTAATATAGCTGCAGCATGGGTCTACCACGTAAAAAATATTGACCCACGAGAGATAATAGATAGAGATAAAACTAATTTTAATAAACATTTCAATTGACAAAAATAGGAGTATTGATATAACATATCAAAGCAAAATAATAACAGCGTCAATGGGATATATTTTTTCTGATATTACGTCATCCTAGATTAGGAATAACGTATTATTTTGACAAGTGATTTTGATAAACGTATCAAAATAAACTAGTTGTAAACAACGTATGCGTAATATGAGACTATTTAGGTAAGTAGCTATGTATACAAATGTTATTCACTTTATTTGAAACTAGCTGTTCCCCGCGCCTTCGCCCGCGTGTAATTTAGGTCTTTAATTTTTTGCGTGGAACCCTAATTCTTTCCTAAAACAAAAGTTACCTAAGTTACTCCTTATAACACCAGCTGTCTGCCAGGGAAAGTCCCATTAATATCCCATTAAAACAGACAGACAGACAAAAAATTAAAAAATTGTGTTTCTGTTATAAGTAACAGATATACTATCCTATACATTTAGTGAAAATCTGTTATTTTGACGTTACAAACAGACACCAATTTTATGTATTTGTATAGATGAATAGGCGGTACACGAGTAAGAACAATTACTTACGGAATTCTTCATAGGAGTACTTGTACTATTATGTATTTATTCTGTGCTAAGGGTTAAAAGAAGTGTTTGAATAGCCGAACGTAATTTCAAAGTATAAACATAATAATTGGTAAATATTTTTCATATGTTTAATAAAATATCAAAAATATTCAACAAATAAATTACATAAAAGCATAAAGCTAATTTAATGAAAAAAAAATATAACGAATAACGTTCTTATTTTTATACAAGTAGATAGCTGTTATAACACCTTATAATGTGTATTAAAAGTTTTTAGCGTAGCCTCACAAAACTCACAATCGATATCCCGCGTTTTATAAATTTTACTTAAAAATAGTACTTATTTGTTAAAAAGTCGCCTTCTTAATTAGCATGGCAGCATATTATACTTAGTCCGTGTGTTTGAAACCGTGTATGGTTGTGCCTTTTTGTCTTATTTCGGAAACTAATCCAAACCACATGCCACGCGTATACAAGATAAAACGTTATTTGAATTTAATTTAGTTCAACAGTAATTATAAAAAATAAGTTAGGGTTACGTGGTAAAGCTAGAGCTATGCTGCAGCTATATTGTGGTTGCAGTACGAATAGGCCGGCTCGACCGCGGTAGGACCACGCTCTCACAGAACACCAGCGTAAAATAGCAGCTTAATCTGTGTGTTCGTATGGTGAGTGTAGAGAAACGGAGATCCTTTACAGGAAACGAGGTATCCCATCTCAGTCCTCAGGGGTGACAACGCATCTGCATTTTGATTATTAATTGAGGATAAATGTAGATGTCTATGCACCACAGCATCCATTTACCATTAGGTGGATTATGTGCTCTTTTGTCACCCATATTATACAAAAAAATCAACATATAAGACTTTATAGGTACCTAGTGAGAGCAGAAAGAATTGCATCCACACTCATTTTCTGCCGACTTCCAAAAAGGAGACTGTACTCAATTCGATTGTATGTTTTTTTGTGTGTTACCTCATAACTTTTTACTGGGGGAACCGATTTGGATGATTCTTTTTTTATTTGAAAGCTGGTACTTCTCGTGTTTTCCTCGTTGGTCAAGATCAGACCAATAGTTTTTGAGTTATTCTTAATAACTCATATTGAAGTCGGCTGTACAAAATTTTTAATTTTAATTTATTACCTACATAGTTCAAGTTACATTATTAGGTAGTAGAAAATTAGAACCTATTCGTTCGAAGGTAAATCTCTTTCATTATGTATTTATACTATAATATTTTAAAAAGAAATAGTGTTCATATGATTACCCTAAGCCATTCCGACGCTGAGTCACCGCCGACTGCCATAGTTGTTACGGCTCCGATGTCTTTGAGCCAAGAAGGTGATTTTGCGATGGGATCGACTCCTGCGCCGGTTATTAAATGTGTCGTGTAATGGTTTATACCAAGGAAATCTGAAGTTCCCTTGATCCTCTGAATCCAGTATTCATCAAATTGTTCTAAGCGTGGCTTAGGAAGACCTTCGGCAGCGCTTTGTTGGGCTACGTTCTCCACCATTACCGCTGGGTATCCACCTTCTTCCGTGAAAATCGGGTGGGCGAACCATCCGAACTGAAAAATGGTATAGGAGCGTTAAGTTCTATACTAGTTGACGTTATATACGTGGTAGAGCCATGTTGCAGCTATATTACTGGATAGTTGTAACACGAATGGGTCGGCTCGCACGGGGCAGGACCACGCTCTCACAGAATACCAGTGTAAAATAGCAGCATACCGCTGCTGTGTTTCGTATGGTGAGTGTAGAGAACCGGAGACCCTTTTTTACTGGAAACGAGGCATTCCATCTTAGTGCTCACGGGTGACAACGCATCTGCATTTTGATTCGTAATCGAGGATAGATTTAGATGTCTATGGGGCACAGCAAAAACTTACCGTCAGGTGGACTGTGTGCTCGTTTGTCACACTAATTCTATAAAAAAAAAGTTATTATTCATAGATTACTACATAGCTTAATCTGAATTTGTTATTTCTCACATTGTATGGTCGGTTTTTCATTCAACCTAAAGTTAAATTATACACATTAAAAGTTTATTGGATTACAAGAATCTTTGATGCGATTGACGTATATTTCATTATAAAATCTACGAAAAAAATGTTCGTTTTGGCATCTCGTGAAAGGTAATTTCAATTGATACACTGGATTTTTGAATTTAGCATTAGTAAAACACACCGTAATAATTCTATGACACATATAGTTTCTCCGTGTAGATACTAGCTAGACTCCACAGAATTAGTAATTTATTTATTGGGCAGTGTATACGCTTTTACACTAAAATCTCAGAAAATGTTTTAAGTTTGTCAATTTACACGTACAAAAGTTTTATTGAAAAAATTGTACAAAAAGGGTTATTATAATATCAAGGAATGCATGAATGAAAATAACCCCTGGGAATAAGGTGATCGCTACCATGCCGGTTCTATTATAATTCGTAGAAAATAAATGTACAAAATTATTGTAAATATATTAAGTCTAAAAAAAATTAACCCCGCTGGGTTTCTTGCTGGTTCTTCCCAGTACAGAGAGGTATTTTCTGAACCAGTGGTAAATAAAAATATATATAAGTAATAAGTAATAATCTATATTGAATAAAAATGATTTGATTTTATTCTATTTTATTATATTCTATTCAGGTGTTCCGTATTCGTACTTACTTTGAATTGATTTGCCACTTCAGCTAAGGCGACTTGTTCGGCGTTGCTTGGGTCGCTGGGTTCATACCAGATGGAGTTGATCGAGATCATTATCCTACCGTTTTGCACTGGTCTGTAGGTATCGTTATACAGGTGATAGACCTCAGCGTGTGCCTTAAGTAGGGTGTTACTGCATAAGTAGTTTCCCACACCGTGACTATCAATAGCCGGAGCTTTCTTCTCGTCGCCATAAGCATCCTCACAAATTTCATAGGGTTCGTTGAAGGTGATCCATGATTTGATTCTGTCACCGAACTGTTTAAAGCAGAGATCGGAGTAATCACGGAAGTAATCAACCATTTTTGGGTTCGCCCAACCTCCAAGGTCTTGAAGTGACTGAGGTAAATCCCAGTGGAATAACGTTACCTGCCACAAGCGTCATTTTAGGCATAATATAAGTAGAATAAATAGTTTACACAATAGTAAAATGAGGATTTGTAATTTAATTATTAAAATAATTATGTAAATTACCAGTGGTTCGATGTTTTTTTCCGCAAGAGCGTCAAGGAGAGCGTTGTAATAACGAATTCCATCCGGATTTACATAATCGACTCGACCTGATGGTAGGATCCGAGACCAAGATAGCGAGAAGCGGTAAAAGTCGACTCCGAGGTAAGCTAATTCATCCACATCTTCAAGGTAACGGTTATAAGAATCACAAGCAATGTCCCCATTGGTGCCGTCAGCGATCATCTCGGGACGAGTGTGGGTTAAACGATCCCAAACATTTTCTGATTTCCCTGCAAATTTATAGCAAGGCGTATATAATCTTGTTTTATTGGTTCCATAATTGTCCAAAATTGTTAGACATTTAGACAATGGAGATGCTAAGTTGCAGGGGAGAATACATTATAAGTTTATAAGCAATCAATTTCAATTGCCACCTCATTAAAAAAGAACAATGGATTATAATTATTTATAAGGCATATCTTATAGTCGGCAGTAAATCGAGCTAAGAACGTGTCAAAAAGCATTTGGAAAGGTATGTAGGTAGATTTTACCGTGTTTTAAATTCAGCGAAAATATAAATTCGTAATATTTTTCTAAGTTAATCTTTTTATTTTCAACTATGTTGTGTTCACAGTGGTGTAAGAGAATCCACTGCCCCATACCATCCAGTGGTTATCGACCGACGGAGAGAAATACATGTTAAACGAGAGATGCGAATCTTTCTGATAACAACTAAAATAATAAAATAGCTGACATATACGTGGTAGAGCCATGCTGCAGCTATATTAGTAGTATAGTTGTAGCAAGAATGGGTCGGCTCGACCGGGGAAGGACCACGCCCTCACAGAATACCAGCGTAAAATAGCAGCTTAACACTGCTGTGTTTCGTATGGTGAGCGTAGAGAACCGGAGATCCTTTTTACTGGAAAAGAAGCATTCTATCTTACTCCTCACGGGTGATAACGCATCTGCATTTTGATTAGCAAACGAGGTTAGATGAAGATGTCTATGGGCCACAGCAACCACTTACCATCAGGTGGACTGTGTGCTCGTTTGTCATCCTATCCCATAAAGAAAAAAGAGTTTGCCATTCCGCCTGCCAAGAGTGTTACCACGGTATGGCAATATCCCCCTCTATGAGGTAATTTAGAGGACAAGCCTATGTTCACCAGTGGACTTTAATACATTATAATAATGATGCTGATGATCAAGTCTTTAAAAAAGTGTCATTTTCAAATAATATAAATAGTTATTATTTATATTATTTAAAAATGAATCACACAATATTGTGTATTTTTTGTAATCTATACAAATAAATAAAATAGAAGTGTCTGTTTGTAATGTCAAAATAACAGCTTTTTACTAAATACATATGAAAGTATATACTGTACTTATAACAAAAACACAATTTTTAAAATTTTTGTCTGTCTGTCTGTCTATCGGTTCAGGCTGATTTCCGAAACGGCTGGACTGATTTTGACGGGACTTTCAATGTCAGATAGCCGATGTCATAAGGAGTAACTTAGACTACTTATATTTAAGAAAAAGAATTAGGGATCCGCGCAGTAAAATTAAAACCGTAAATTACTAATTAGGCGAAGTCGCGGAGAACAGCTAGTGTAGGAATAAATATGTAAGGACTGCAAGTGGATACGTGCCGATTATCTCGTATTTTCAGAAATTTTAGGGCTAAACTAACTTTTCTTTTCCAAAATGCTGCCCCCTATAATTTGCCACACAGCGACATCGCATCTTTGTACCCCCCTCAATGCTACGTTATTGTATAAACGTTGTGAGGCATAATGTGGTAGGATTTGGTAGTGATAACGGATAATACATGGTGATTGACAGTGCGACAAAACCCACTTGAGTTGATAAAGTACATTAGAGATTACAAAACCTCTGTAAAATTTGTGTTACATATCGCTTATAATATATCTTTATATATAAAAATTACGTGTCACATTGTCCGCGATGTACTCCTAAACTACTGAACTGATTTCAATGAAATTTTATAAACTGTGTGCAGTTTGGTCCAATTTGAGAGATATGATAGTTTTTATCCCGATAAGTGACCCTCAATATTTTTTTATTGCGAATTTAAGGATTTTTTTCATAGGAAGGGTCAGCGGAAAGGGCAGAATAACGTCTGCTTGGCCAGCTAGTACATATAGAAGTATAGAATATAGTTTTAATGATTTTTATTTTATTATTTTAACGATTTTTATCGAATAGGTATATCTCTACTTCCTTGAATTTTTTAAGTAAGAGCCGACATGACAGTACTTTTTAATGCAAATTACTAGATAGATACTAAAGCTTAGTCTGCTTGGTAGGTAATTTATATTTAAAAACTAGCTGTCTGTGTGTATTTACCACGATTTCATGGGTTTTAATTTTTTTGCGCGGAACCATAATTCTTTTTCTAAAATAAAAGTATCTTAAGTTACTCCTTATAACATCAGCTATCTGCCAGTGAAAGTCCGGCCAATATCGGTCCAGCCGTTTCGGAGATTAGCCGGAACAAACAGACACAACATTTTGAAGATTGTTTTTTGTTATTAGTACCGTATATAATTTCATATGCATTTAGTAAAAAGCTCTTATTTTAACATTACAAACAGACACTTTTATTTATTTGTAATTATTTGTAATAGATTAGATGAAAGCAAGTTTAATTAATAGAATCAGGCGTTACTTTGCGGAAATCCATTATATAAAAGCTTTTACAAAAATTTACTTCAAAGCAAGTTTAAAAGATATATTTTTAAATATTTTCTCTTTTTGTATACAATTCGTTAAGGCTAAAGAGTTGAAACTAAAAACAGTTTTATATGCAAATTTACAATAGATAGAAAAAAACTTGTAAGAAATGATAACAAAAAAAAATACTTTTAATAAAAACTAAAACTAAAAATCATTCGTCGCATATAGAACCTCCTCGTTTTTTGAACTTAGTATTATGGTTTTCAAGGAAAGATATCTTCAAACTTACCGCTGACATTCCAAGCACCTTCTATTTGATGAGATGCTGTTGCCACACCAAATGTGAATCCTTCAGGAAATTTGGTGTAGTGCGCAAGGCTCCTGCGTTAATTGATTGAAGTGATGTAAATATTAATCACACAGACGTTGTTCATGCGTGTTGATGTGTTAATTGTTTAGAAAACCCTAAATTAAAGAAAAGGGGCCGAAAATTTTTCTTTACCTCAGCATGTAGAGTATCATACTCATTGAGCAGAGTAATTATAATATTAACTTTTCATAAAGAGTAAAAACAGAGCTAAAAGAACTAAAATGTTCACATTCCGAAGACATAGGTAGTGTACAGAAGAATCAAAGACCCGATTTCAGAATATAATTTTTTAAATATAATTAGTTTTGACGGATTTTATCGCGTATATTAACTTATTTTATATTCCTGACGTTTCAAGCACTTTGCAGCACCCATGGCCACGGGGTGGGACCATAGCGTGGGACTGAGACGTTTGACGACCCAACGTTAAAAATTAACCACGGCCACCTCCAGATTAAAATTATTAATTTTTGTTCCGATCTACGCAGTATAACATACAGTATCTTGAAGTCTAGCAGTTGTATACATGGGTTGGGATTTAATTTTATTAATTATAGAATCCCATGCAGATGGTATCACCCAGCTATCTTCTCTATTGAAATTAGGATATTTTTGATTTCAATAGTAAGGCTATTATTAATATTTATATTTAGTCCAGTATATTAATATTTCAGTCCTTGGAAGGATTTTTTTTATAGGATAGGGTGACAAGGGAGCACACAGTCCACCTGATGGTAAGTGGTTGCTGTGGCCCATAGACATCTACATCTATTCTCGTTTGCGAATCAAAATGCAGATGCGTTGTCACCCGTGAGGACTAAGATGGAATGCCTCTTTTCTAGTAAAAAGGGTCTCCGGTTCTCTACACTCACCATACATAATAATATTATAACCAATTAACTTTTTTGTAAAAAAAAAAATTGCTTGTTTTGATCACAGTATATTATGAGCCAATGTTTTCAGTATCTTTTATTTAAATAGGTACTATTTAAATAAAAGAAATAGTACCTATTTAAATAAAAGATACTGAAAACATTGGCTCATAATATACTGTGATCAAAACAAGCAATTTTTTTTTACAAAAAAGTTAATTGGTTATAATATTATGTACGCCGCCCTAATAGAGTTAGATCCGACTTGCACTTTGTTGGTTTTTAGCAAGTAATATCAAAAGTTACTTGACTTAACTGAAATTATTTCGATCGATGAGAAAATTTTCCAATTTACCAATGTAAGAGCTACATTTACGTAACGTCAAATGCACAAAAGTCGATTTGGGAATTGAACAAACTTTGTGTTTAAAAATTCCTTGAATACTCATGATTTGTTAGATAAATTATTTTTATGAGTGGTGGCCATTATCTGTCTAATATGGGTAATGTTTGTGCTCTTACAGCTTATAGGGGACCTCGAAGGTGTTCCTATACTCAAAAAGTGTAAATTAAAACCCTCGTATTGTTGTAATAATTACTAAAGAGTCAAAATATTGGTGTTTAAAAATAAACCACTTGTACAATTATATATCTGCCATTAGTGATAATTTTTTTAATAGTTAAAAGTTGATTTTCTTGGTGATGTAGTTAGGTAATGTACTGAAAGGTAACTATGTAATTTCGTAGTATAAACAAACGGTTTTACTTACAAGTGGTAAAGTGTAAACAGGCCGATAATGGTTCCCCACGCCATTTCGTCGTGTAGCGGTGTGGAGTTACGCAAATATACTGTTCCGTAGGATGTAGGCGCCGCATCTTTTAGCTGCCTATATATTTAACGGTACTCTTATGACGTTACAGAATGTTTCTTTCTGATAAAGTCAAAGCCACCAGAAGATAATAAACGTTTGTAAAAATGTAGTTATATAATTTTATAAGGTTTTTAGTGTGTGTGTTTAAGTAAGTTTATAGACATCTTATAAAACTTTGCATAACTTACAGTTGTGTATTCTCTTCATTATTATTTTTTTACTTTGACATCCCAAAAATATAAAACAACCACCGAAGACAAAAATTCTCGGTTTTTAATATAAATAAAATAATATCTATATAATTATGAATCTGATTTCTCTCAAAGAATAAGAATACAATTTAAAGAAAATGCTAGGAAAAAATGAATTATTAACTTTTTTTATAGTATAGTATAAGCGTGAAAAACGAGCACGCAGTCTTGCTGATGCTAAGTGAATTTTGCGGACCAAAAGATTTTCCGGTTGAGCCGACGACCCATTCGTGCTGTTACCACAATATGGCTGTAGTGTGGCTCTACTACGTTCAACTTAAAAAGTGTATTAAAGTAAAATTTGAAGTAGCTCATTATTTATTTAGGGATGTCGTTATAGTTAAGTATATAAGTACTTTATTGTGGAAATAACATTTCTTCAATTGAAATTGGAACACAGATACTCGTTTATGGTGGGTAGCTATTTGTTAGCGCCAAAAATTAAATTAAATATATTTATTTTTTCAACGAGAGAAATTAAAAATTCCCTTGTCAAATGTCATTTTTATCACCAAAATTACTACCATTCCGAAACGAGGTTCCTCCAATCGAAGAAAAACTTCTGACATCATTTCATCCCGTGGGTGTTGTAAGAGGCGACTATGGGAAAGGCTTTAGATCGATGGCGTTATAATCATCTGGTGTATGTCAGACGTAAAATACCCAAATCATCAACATCAGCTACATCAATTCTTTCAGAAGAGCCCTTATGCTATATGTCCCACCGTCGCCTCGACCACCGAATATGAAAAATGATCCGCCTCTATTTACACAATCTACATCTGCAAATGAATCTTCACAACAAGATAAACAGATGCCTGGGCCTAGTGAAGTGCATACTTATGCCAGTGTTACGAAAGCATCCTCGGAAAAAACGAGGAAAAATTCTAAGACTGAGAAACGAAGAAATAGAAGAAAGTCTCTCAAAGAACAGTGGAGGAAGTAAGGCGTGAGAGGTCTGGCACTGGCCATCAAACCGCCTGTCAAACGTTACGATAGGCATACAAATTCTCGCTACAACGATATTATGATAATATACAAGTAAACATTTTTGTATACGCCTTTCTGAGCCTTATTAAGCAATGCTCCGATGAGTCGTATTAAATTACCTATTTTTCATCACGTTAATTGTTTTATATTAATAAATTGTTGTTAGTATTTCGTTTCAATCAGGTTAAAATTGTTACAAAAGAGAAAACAGTTACACATAATACTTCAAAAAAGCCTAGGCTTAAAAAAAGAGAAGATATCACTGGATCACTGAAAATATACCTATCAAATATGAAGAGGAGAATAGATAGCAAATCTCAAAGGCGTTTACAAATGATAAACTGATAAATATCGATAATCCAATGAATTGTATGAAATCTTTTTATATCACAAAAATGAATATTGCGTGATATAAGTATTATTAAAATATCGACACTGGTATCCGAGAACTGATCAGAATACTAATTACATTGGCATTGTCTCTTTGTAGGTTAAAGCCAAGTACAATTTGTTAACTGACATTAACACGTACGAGCTATGAGGACAAAAATTCTTTATAGTGCTGCAAATTGCAAGTAGTTATGTAAATAAAGGGCCATTTATACGAGAAATAAGTAATAAACAATCATACTCGTATTAATTAGTAGTCAGAGTACGAGTACCTACCTAATTACTTATGACCGATTCTGCCGATTCGATTCGATACGGATCGCAACAGAGAACAAAATGTTCTCTGTTTTATTGTCTGTGATAGTAAAATCCGTATAAAAACAATTTTATTTAAAAACTAGCTATGCCCGCGACTTCGTTCAAATAGCATGTTTGTAAGTAACTTATTTTAAATAAAACTAATTTTTTACGGATTTTATCGCGTTAAGTAAAAAAATTTAATTCCCGACGTTTCGCTTGTTTTACAGCACCCATGGTCACGGGGGGGAGGGGGGATTTTTGGTCCGATCTACGCAGAATGAGCTTACAGTATCTAAAGACTTGCAGTGGTATGCTTGGGTTTGGATTTAATTCTATTAATTATAGGATCCCAAGCAGATGGCAGCACCCATCCATTTTCTCTAATGAAATTAGGATGTTTTTTAATTTCAATAGCCTCGCGAATCATCCTTGGTAGGAATGGGTGTTCTTTTGCGAGGATTTGTGGTCTATCATATTTAATGTAATGGCGGGGATGATCTAGAACATGTTCCAGTAACTTATTTGTTTTGAAGTTTTAATTCTTGAGACTATTGATTATATTTTATAAGCTACACATATTTCAAGTCAAACAGTAATAATGTAGATATTTTTATACTTATAAGGAGTAATTTCACGATCAAGTGCATGGACGATTTCAACATCGAGGATGTCAATTTCGTTCAATATGTATAATCTATACATATAATAAGTCTGTAGAAAAGTCGTGTCTGTTTCTACAAAAAACAATTCCATGGGACTAAATAAAGGCCATTGAGGTCAAATTAGTGGTTTTTAGAATTTTTGTCTGGTGAAAACTACTGTACAGATTTCCATGAATATATGCCCCGGGCCCCTAACTTCATATACAAACCGGTGTCCGGAAGATTTATCATTCCGCCTGTGGCACCGCTCTCGAGCGGTCGCGTCTAGGTAGTCCGCACATCCGTCCCCGTACGGTAGTGCTCTCTCGCTCTCGCGCCTCCGCTGTCCTGCTCGCACTGTACAGTGCGACGCCTGGTGAGTCCTTTTTCGCTAACTCCAGTTATTACCTCCCTGTCTCCGGGCGGGGCGGTTTGACTGTTGGTCTTGCTTTTTAATTGTCATTTTTGTTTTTGTAATTATTTTATTGTTATTTATTGTAACGTGTATATTGTTTCAAGGGAGTTACTTGCTCTTTTCAGAGCAAGGCCCTGTTCTTTTGAGAACCAGGGCACAACTCCTAGAATAAAACCGTCCCGTTCTTCTCAGAACGGTGATCCCGTCCTTACTGTTTCTTAAGAATACGATCTGTTCTTTTCAGAACAGTGTCCCCTTGTCCCCCTAACGTACTTAACTTACATTCATACCGAAAATGTCGGATATGTCCGTCTTGATAGATTCAATCACCGAAACTTACTTTAGGCTCCGTAATGACCCGAAGGCTCTTACCGCAGCCATCACCGCCATTCTGGCTTCCGCCAATCTGGTACACCTACATCTGCCCGTTATAGCGGCCCACTTTGAGTCCCAGAACTCATTCGCGCCTCTCGAAGTAGACATGGAGTGCTCCAACTCCAACTCCGACTCAGAATCCACGCTCCGGGGCTCCGGTTCTACGGAGTCGTCTGACTCAGACGGATCCGAAGAATCGGAGTTCACGACAGTGTCTTCCAAGCGCCGTAAACGCGCCGCGAAAAATCACACCGTTTCGGCGGCCCCTGCCGCCCCCGCAAACCCCGCAGCCCCCGTAGCTGCCTCAGTCCCCGCAGCTCCCGCTGCAGTTTCCGCGACACCACTGCCCAAGCCGGCCTCCCGCTGTGCTTCTAACCCGACTAAGAAGCAAGTCCCGCCCCCTGTCTTCTTACGAGACAAGGCACAATTCACCCGCCTCTCCAAAACCTGCTACGACGCAGGAATAAAATACGACCAAGCCACCAACCTCGGGGAGGCTATTAAAATCATCCCCAAATCTGTCGACGACTTTCGTCGTCTCACCAGGCTCTTCACAGCCGAGAAAGTCTCTTATCACACATACGCTCTTCCGGAAGAGCGCAAAATCAGGGCCGTCATCCGAGGCGTCCCTTTTGAAATTTCCAACGAGGAAATCCTTGAGGACCTTAAGTCCCAAGGATTCCCGGTTGAGGCTGTGCATAAAATGCACAGCAGAACGGGCTTGAGGTTCCCCCTCGCTCTCGTTATTCTTTCAAACGCTCCGGAGGCACAGACTATCTTCCGGCAGTTACGCACAGTGTGTGGGCTGTCGGGAGTTAGGGCTGAGCTCCCACATAGGCGCGGCTACCCGGCGCAGTGCCACCGCTGCCAGTTATATGGTCATGCGGCGGCCAACTGCTCCGCCCCACCCAGGTGCGTTAAGTGCCTCGACCCCCACAACACGAAAGAGTGTCCCCGGCCCAAAAATGCCGAATCCCCACCCGCGTGCGTCCTGTGCAAACAAACAGGCCACCCGGCTAACTACAGAGGCTGCCCTTGCGCACCTCACCCCCGCCCCATTAGGCACGCTCCACTGCCGGTTAATGCTAAGTCATTCCCGGCCCTCCCGTCAAGATTGCCACCTAAGAGATATTTTCGCCCATCTCAGGTAGACCCAAGGCCCTCCCGGGTCCCTCCCCCTCTTCTTCGCCCACCTCCGGGCTTCTCGCAACCATTACAGCCTCCAGTCTTTCCCTGGGGACCCAAAAAGGCCGACCCTCCGCGGTCGTCCCCCGCTGCACAGCATGAACAACCCTCAGTGGCTGATGATCTAAATACGGTGTACGCCGCTATTAAGAACATCAACATTGGGGAGATCACAGTCTTAGCACGCAAATTGCGCGCTGCCAAGTCCCCTCAGGACAGACTCCTTGCTCTTACAGAGCACCATAATCTCTTAAGTACGTTATAAAATTATTTTAATCATTTCATCGTAAGGTAAATACGTCGGGTTAAAACTGCCTCCGTAGGCACTCACTAATTAAAACTCTCTGAAACTTCTTCAAAGTCTCAGAGTTTCATTAAACATACTTATTCGTGAGGTAGCTAAGTGTGCAACCCCACTCCCTCTCGCTATCGCATCCGCAGGCCGAGGAACTCCCACTCGAACCCGCTTATTCTCTGTCAAACGATCTGAACTACCTCCTGGTGGCTCAGTCAATTTCATAATTAAACTTTCATAAATAATTAACCTTTTACAATCAAATTGCCTTCCCAGGCACTCCCTCAGCGGCTTATAGCCGCCTGCGCCCTCTTTTCCCAAAAGAGGGTCGCTTCACGATACGGCATAGGAAGCTTTAAACAGCTGGTTGCCAGTCCCCAAAGGCGGTTTTTAGGGGGTATTACATAGGCTCCCCCGTTAGGCGTGAGTCCCCCATAACCACGATGGATAGCCATCGTGGTATGCGTAATGCATTTTCCGCCTCCCGTAAAGGGTAGCCCTTTTCCAAATTGCTTCGGGCGCAAAAAAAAAAAAAAAAAAAAAAAAAAAAAAAAAAAAAAAAAAAAAAAAAAAAAAAAAAATGAAGATTTATCGTTATTGTCACTTTTAGCAAAATGACTAACAGAACTGTGTACACAAAACTGTGTTTAAGACAGAATGTCTTTAGTTGAATATGTTGGGTGGTCTATCAGCATAGCAATATTTCACCAACTTCTTTTTGTATCAAGTCCGATGGAATCACTATACCTGCTAGGTGCCCCGTTGTTTTTCGATAGTATTCGACCTGTTTTAAAAACAAAATTTGATCAGTTTTTAAACCACGTTGTTAAATTGTATAAATTAAACTCCCACATTGCTCTATTTTAAAATATTGTCTCCTTGTACCTGATTTACATACTTACTCCGCTCGAGTCCAGTCTGGAAATGTTCGGATATTTTAAAAGACATTGATAATAATCTTAAAATAGCTATAGAAAGAATTCTAAATTTAACTTTAAATACAAAAGCCTGGACTCAAGCTACTTTACCTATAAAATTTGGTGGTATTGGTGTGAGAAATTTTTCTAGCTTGCGTTGCCTGCTTTCCTTGCTTCTGTGCATAGTGTCAGTAATTTATATAACACTAGCTGTGCCC